GCAACCTCCGCCTCCTGGGTTCAGGCAATTCTCCTGCCTCAGCCTCCTGAGTAGCTGGGATTACAGGCACGCACCACCATGCCCAGCTAATTTTTTGTAGTTTTAGTAGAGACGGGGTTTCACCATGTTGACCAGGACGGTCTCGATCTCTTGACCTCGTGATCCACCCGCCTCGGCCTCCCAAAGTGCTGGGATTACAGGCTTGAGCCACCGCGCCCGGCGAGACACTTTTTTTCTGTGGTATTATGGAAGCATTTAGCATCTGATGTGTAATTCCCAGGGGAAACCATTCCAGTATAGGTTAGTCATTGGAGAAGGTGATATGGAAGTCACTATGAGGAGCTTTCCTGGTGGGTTTGCAGTTCTTGAGCTACTAGGCAGGAAAAGAAAGACAGATGATACTCATATAATAGTGATGGGACTCACAGGCTTGCGTGGCATTTTAGGCCTCTTATCCCTAGAACATTAGGAACTGGGGTCCTTTGAACAGTAGAAGTGGAAAATGTCTTTGAGTTTTCTTTTTCTCTTCGATTGTTAAGGACTCTTACTGTGGTTAATAGGTTTTTTTATCCTAGAGAGTATTGGGATTGTACTACCATGGCTGTCCTAGTTAAATATCTTTAAAATCTTTGTTTTGTTCTTTACTATAAAAATAGGGAATCTATGGAAATGAACTGATTCCCTTCTCCTTTAATCTTGATTTTAAGGTTAGAATCATGGTGCTTTTTTTCCCCAAGCATAGCCTGAATTTGTGAGCTCTGTAGATCAACTGTTGGCCCAAAACAGGAGATGGGAGTGGGGGGCAGATTCCAGCACCTCCAGGCAAAAGAGGAGGTGAGGGGAATTATGGGTAATAATACTTGTGCTTCTTACTGAGCTGGAGAGCTTACTGGGAGCCTGATTCTTTTTTTTCTCTAGCTGGACTCAGAGTTAACAGCCCGACATGAGCTACAGGTGGAAATGAAAAAGATGGAAAGTGACTTTGAGCAGAAGCTTCAGAATCTTCAGGGAGAAAAGGATGCACTGGATTCTGAAAAGCAACAAATTGCCACAGAGAAACAGGATCTAGAAGCAGAGGTGTCCCAGCTCACAGGAGAGGTAATGCCTGAGCAGGGAAGGCAGAGTGACCTGTAACCTCAAGATGTACATGGCTTAGAACAGGAGTCAATCATCTCACTTCCAGGGAGGGATCAGCTACTAATAGGCAATCTAGTTACATGGTGCATATTTTTAAAATAATATACTGGTTTTTGGTTTGTGTTGGGGGTAAGTAATACATAAGACAGAAAATCTGGAAAATACAAAAAAACATTAAAAATGAAGGTGATAAATCTTCTAATAAATTAGGAATAAAAACTAAACTGTTACAAATCAGCTGATTTTCTGTTAGTCATCTCTGCACAGATTTATCCTTACACACTCCCGGTGCAGTAGTAAATAGTTAAATGATCTTTGATATCTGATACCTTGATTACTTATGTGGTTATATAATCATCTGTGTAGCACATATATTAGTTATATAACTAGAATATTTGATTTACTTGACTTTTACATTTTTTAATCAAGGGAGAGTTTAACATAAATGTTGAAATTGTCTTTTTAATACAAAGCATTCTGAACTAAGAACATGAAGACCTGAATTCTAGTTTTGTCTCTGCTGCTAAGCAGTGTGACTTTAAGTGATCATGTGATCTCTCTGACTCCTCTCAGTTTCTCCATTTGTAAAATGAGAAGTTTGGATTAAGTCATTTGTTAGATTCCTTCTAGCCCCAGTACTCCCTGAAGTGGGGTGAGAAGTACTCACATTGATGTTATTTCTGTAGGTTGCCAAGCTGACAAAGGAACTGGAAGATGCCAAGAAAGAAATGGCTTCCCTCTCTGCGGCAGCTGTTGCTATAGCTCCTTCTGTTCCTAGTAGTGCTACTGTTCCCCCTGCCCCTCCTTTACCTGGTGACTGTGGCACTATGATTCCACCACCACCTGCTCCTGGGGGTAGCACCATAGTTCCTCCTCCACCACCACCTCCTTTGCCTGGGGGTGTTGGCATCACCCCCTCACCGCCTCCTTTGCCTGGGGGTGCTAGCATCCCTCCACCCCCTCCTTTGCCTGGGGGTGCTAGCATCCCTCCACCCCCTCCTTTGCCTGGGGGTGCTAGCATCCCTCCACCCCCTCCTTTGCCTGGGGGTGCTAGCATCCCTCCACCTCCTCCTTTGCCTGGTGGTGCTGGAATCCCCCCACCACCTCCTCCCTTGCCTGGAGGAGCAGGAATGCCACCTCCTCCTCCCCCTCTTCCTGGTGGTCCTGGAATCCCTCCACCTCCTCCTTTTCCTGGAGGCCCTGGCATTCCTCCGCCTCCACCTGGCATGGGTATGCCTCCACCTCCCCCATTTGGATTTGGAGTTCCTGCAGCCCCAGTTCTGCCATTTGGATTAACCCCCAAAAAGCTTTATAAGCCAGAGGTGCAGCTCCGGAGGCCAAACTGGTCCAAGGTAAGAATCTCTATTTCTTCACCAGTATATCTTTTTTTTTTTTTTAATTTTTGAGACGAAGTCTCATTCTTGTTGCCTAGACTGGAGTGCAGTGGCATGATCTTGGCTCACTGCAACCTCTGCCTCCCAGGTTCAAACGATTCTCCTGCCTTAGCCTCCTGAGTAGCTGGGACTACAGGCGCTTGCCACCACGCCCAGCTAATTTATTTTTTTTATTTTTGGTAGAGTTGGGGCTTAACTGTGTTGTTAGCCAGGATGGTCTCAATCTCTTGACCGCATGAGCTGCTGCGCCTGGCCTCACCAGTTGATCTTAAGAAACCATTTTACTACCAGTTTTCTACTTTGTATTTTGTGCATGGATGGGCTGCACCTCCCTTATGGCTTACATCTTTCTGTCTTCAAGTTTCACTCATGCTTATGTTTATTCAGCAGATACTGGGCATCTTCTATATGCCATACATCACCATGGAGAGTTCTGTGAACCCTGTACTCTGAATTTAATCTTAACTAAACTTATACTTAATGTTTTTTGCCTTTTCTCTGAGGCTATCAATACCATGGTAACACACAGTTTGATAATGGTCATTCACTAGTCCGCAAGCTACTGATAGTTGTGCTGATCCAAAAGTCATGGATTTATGAATCCACTCTACCCCAGTTTCACAGGATATAAATTACACAGCCCATATTTGCATGCACAGTGTTGTTCCCATGATGTGTTTGAGATGCCTGTGATTCTGAGTTAGTTAGCCTTTTGCTTCTAGAAAGTAAGTTAATATAAAGGAGCTTAGGGATTTATTTGCTCATAAAATGAGCAAATTTGGCACAGTTAGCCAAACTGGTGGGGAAAATATGATGGAGAGCAAGAGAAGATGTGAAATAAAGCCTTAATGCTTCTGAAGCTAGAGGATTTGGAGTTAGGAGGAAGATACATAGTATACGTGAATCTAATTCTTAGATTTATGCATCCATAAACAAATAAACTGGAAGTATTCTCTAATACTAATCCCTCTTCTAATCCCACCACACTATTCTGTGCCTCAGGTTAGTCTTATTCTAGTTAGACATTGTTGATAATCAGCCAACCACCTATTTTACAGACTCATTTTTTTTTTAGGTTGGAAAGTACAGGGCTCTGTTTACTAATTTTTAACACCCTGCCTTTATCTACAGTTTGTGGCTGAGGACCTCTCCCAGGACTGCTTCTGGACAAAGGTGAAGGAGGACCGCTTTGAGAACAATGAACTTTTTGCCAAACTTACCCTTACGTTCTCTGCCCAGACCAAGAGTGAGTACCTTCCTCTTTGATGCAAAGGTCCAGTGTAGGGCTTAGAATATTTTTTCATCAGGTTTCCTATTCCCTTTCCTTCCCTGGGTGAGGGTAGAAAGGGTATGTTGGATGGAAGACAGATGGATTTTCCCATTCCAAAGAAAGAAAATATGTTATTATATTAAATATTAAGGAGTTACATGGTTGGGAAAGAGAACTATTGTATGTAGGTATTTTGTATTAGTATAACTTTTAGGAATATGAGATTAAAATGACAGAGCTTGATTTGGGCTCATTTTGATGATACTCTTGAACAAATTCTGGCACTGCTTTAAGGTGCAATTTCCAGTCCTAAGTACTTAAGTAATAAGGGTTGGATAGAGTCTTTAACAGTTCAGGTGGCTGAGTGACTGTGTACGTTAACAAAGAACCGTATGTGATTTCTTTTCTTCCTTCCGTTTCTTTCCAATATTGGATGCCTTCTCCCTCCTGGCACTTTGTTCCTGAAGCTTCCAAAGGTAAGAATGCAAAAGAGCCTGTTAGTTTGGTCTCTTGAATATTAGAGAAAAAGATGAAATAGATATAAAGGAATTTCTCATTAGAAAACTGAGACTAGAGATTGAGGGTTGATTTGTCTTTGCTAGGTTTTCTTTTCTTTCTTTTTTTTTCCCTCCCTTGGACTTCAAAAGGACTAATAGCTTTGGTATTAACTAACAGGGAAGAAATTTTGTTTCATGTTAAACTATCACATACTTATCTCTTTAGAAGGTGAGGGACAACGTAAGTAATAATACTGTTACCTTACATTTGTGCTGTTTTACAAGTTTTATAGTGCCTTAACATGAATTACCCTATTTGACATGCAAAGAAGCCTTATAAGACAGGCAGGATGTGTATTATCTCCACTCTGTAGCATATATAGACTCTGAACAGTTAGGTAGCTTTCCCAAGGTTAGGATCAGAACCAGGAGTCTTGACTTCTGGTCCATTTTTTTCTATATAAATTCTTGCTTTTCTTTTTTAACCTTCATATGTTTCCTTTTATTTTAGAAGAGCTGATTTACTTTGCCCTCTTCTTTCTTCACTTTTAATTCTTGTGGTTTTATGCTGCCTTGTGATAGGGTACTTGTTAGTTATTTCCCTGAGAGAGATAGTATTTCAAATATCTTGTCATGTATAATGACAATTATAGCCCAATAATTTTGTATTTTCATCTTCTTCCAGCATTTTTGTTTGTTTAGAGGTTTATTACGACCTTAGTGATGAAAAATAAGTGCAACTCCCTGCCTCTCCCCAGTCAATTAGTATTTTTAAAGGTGATTCTTATTTTTTTCCTTAAGTGATCTGATGGAAATAGGCTACACTTTGTTCTAATAAGGAGCCTAACAGATTGCGAGGTGCCTTGGTGGCCCCTAGTGTGTATGTGTGTGTGTGTGTGTTTGTTCTAATAAGGAGCCTAACAGATTACGAGGTGCCTTGGTGGCCCCCAGTGTGTGTGTGTGTGTGTGTGTGTGTGTATAAGACCATAATGCTCAGGTCTGTTTTGTTGCCCTATCATTCAGGACAAAAATGGCCTTTTCCTCTGAGAAAACTGTCACCTTCCATGCCAAAGTCCAGCCTAAGGAATTACTTCCACTCTCTTAATTAAAATACTGTGATGGTGACCACGTATACTGTATTAGTGTATCAATAAAGACTAGTTGACAAAGTCAAAATTAAATGATTTTCTAATTTGTAAGTTCATGGAATCCCTATATTGGCCTCTGGCATAAGTTTCTTGAGTCTGGGCTCTGCACTCTTAGTGCCACTGCAAATGAACACCTAGTGGGCCCCTTTTCTCCCTTCCCCCATCTCCATTTTTTAATTCTATTTGTATTCCTATTAATTCTAGCTGGGTTTTATACAGCTTAGTGGTCTTCTTGGGCATTATATTCTCATTATGAATTGGATATAGTAGTATTTTTTAAATACTAAAGTGGCCCCTTTCTTCACAAAAGGCCAAAAAAAAAAAAAAAAGAAAACTTTAGTAAAAAGTATTTGTGCTTCTTATTTAGGGTGTAGGTTTTTGTCAGATAAGGAATTTAAAGCTCTCAAAACTTCAGAAGTAAACACTTAGAAAGCACAGATCAGTATGACAGCAAGTTTACTTTACTTCCAGTGCTTTAAACATCTCAAGTGTTTATATTTCAGAAAAAGGCTTTCATCCTTACTACTTTTTAAAAGTAATTCTTGAATACTGAATTGAATACTGAACCAATTTAGTGTGAATACTGAAGCCCGTGTCAGTTGCCAAGTCTCTCATTCATAGTCTTAATAATGATGATATAATTAAATGATAGATAACTACTCATTATCAACCTTGTAAATAGTTCTTCTTCCAGATGAAGTAGGAACATAGATTAAATAACTTTTTCCAAACTATATAAAAAGTATCAGAGCCAGAGTTCAAATTCTAAACAATGACTCCAAAGTGCCAAGAGTGTACATACTTGCCCCAAGAGCCCCTGAAAGCTTAGATCCAGACAAAAGCTGCAAGAAGGGGATATGCTGCCTTCAGGAACCACTTCATTCATTCAGACGCAGATGTCCTTGAATTGGCAGTGACTGAGTAGAAAAAAAGGAACAATAATAGATTAGGGAAAGTAAGTGAGGTACTGGATATTTAGGGTTATAAAGGAAAAGGCATGTTCTGGCAATATTCAACTCGAGCAAAACTAATCCAGTTGAAGAAATAAGACATGTTTATCTCTTTGTTTTGTTTTGTTTTTTTGTTAAGACATTTTTATCTGGTAGAAGCACTGCTTAGATGATTTCAGCCCAGTGGTTGCCAGTGTTGATGAAGAAGTTATTTGAACACTAGGTTCTCACATATTGCATTTTTTCCTCTCTTGCTTGATAAACACAGCTCTACTATTTGTTAAACATGCCTGTATCCCCCTTATGTTTTATTGATACCTAAAAACTTCAGTATACCTACTGGTCCCTCCAAGAATGGGCATCGAAGAAAGCACATGCCTCACTCTGCACATCTGCCTTCTGTAGTGAAGTCTCCAGTTACTGCTTTATTAATGTTCAAGAATATGTGTGCCTTTTTACAAGAGAAGAGCTAAGGGACAGGTATTGGTCCTAAAATTTTATCCTCCAGATTCTTTTACCCGTTATTTTTCTTTTAAAGATGAGTGTCGTGTTTCTGAAGGCTTTATTTCCCATAAATGAGGAATTTACTTACTCAGTTAACTTATTCCCTGCCAGGGAATATTTTGAATTTACATTTGATAGACAATACCATCAAACTTCTAGTCCTTTTTCACATTCTCACTTTCCTTATTATAGTGATCAGCAAAGAGTCTTTTATCATGGACTCTTTGTCAGCTCTTTTTAATTTCTTGGAAACATGTCCAGTAGTTAAATTGTTTTTTTCCATCTTTTCCAAGGGATCATTTTCATTGACATAGTAGCCTTAGGCAGTTCGTTATTTGTATGTACAAGATAAACCAGTTTTCATTTTGCATTTCTTCTCTTATTCTCTTTTGTTATGTGATCATTATACTATCACCTCTTGAATCATAGCATGGTGGATAACTCATGTCCTACGTACAGTGACTTTTATTTTTAGGTTTATTCCTTCCTTCCAAAAACAATACGGAACATTAGACTTGTTAGAGATGCATTATGGGAACTGTGAGCATCAGAAGAGTTCTCCAAATATTTAATGGCAGTAATTTAGAAAAATTTCTGGCTAAAAGTAAGATCTTCACTAAGAGCAGAGAATTTTATTAAAAAATAACAGTATTCTAGTTAGCATTTGACTCTGTGGCTCCAGTTCTATTGTTCCAGAAGTCAGAACTGTTAGCCACAACAGATAGGTTTACTTGTCTGCTGCTCTGACATAATTTTCTTGCTTCAGGCTTCAGCAGGAGCCCCTTTCCCAAAGAGAATTGTAGGGTCTTTTTTTTTTTTTTTTTCCCTGTTAAAAAATATATGCATATTCTTACTTTATCCTGACAATATTTTTATTTCTATGAAGATGCTAGCTTTTGGAGATGTTTTCTTCTGTTCTCTTTTTTTTTTTTTTCCCTGTTATTCTTTTCTGTCCACTAGGTGGCAATCACCCGGTTGGATCTTTATTAGTGAATCTATAGCTTCTGCAGCTTTAACCTTTAGCAGCAAGATTTTGTGAGAGCTCAACCTGCTCTACCTTGTTCAGTGAGTCTCTTGGCAGAAAGATGTCTGTTTCATTAGTTCCTTATTCCACTCAAGTGTGTAGGATTAGGACTAGAGGTACTAGTCAAGTGAACATTTGTTGGGATTCTTACCTTTTAATTACTTAGCTTCTCTTGGGTTTTGAGTAGGGTCAGACTACTAGCACAAAGAAATTGGGAAGTTCTGTGATATCAGATGATAGTCCCTTGTGATTTAAAAACATAAATCCATCCCTATCATCTAGGGTTGCCAGAAGTCTTTCACACGGAAAAAGTAAAAACCTCTTCCAGGCTTTCATCTTACTGTCACTAGTGGCATAAAAAAGGAACCTAAACTACCCCCTCATGTGCCCCTCTACACCCCAACCTTTCCATCACCGTTTGCTTTTAATCCACTGGATCTAATATTATGCCATTTATCTTGGTTTATGTCATTTACCACAGGCAGCCCCAGACTCCTAGGTCATCCTTCGTTTCCCATGGTTTAATCGCCATAAGGTCCTGCGTGTTTCCTATTCTGTCTCCTCCCATCCCACCTACGCTCCTGAAACGGGTCCACTGTGCCTTCTTGAATTCATGGTCCATTACTGGCAAAACATTTTTACCTTGTTCTACTGGAAACCTGGTTTTCTGTCAATACTGCTTTCCCTTTTGCTTGCTCATGTGGTTGTTTTTCTTTGTTCTCATAAACCTCACTCCAGTGGGCTTGGAGATGTGGTAGATGTCATCTTTGTTCTTCATTGCCACTTTCAGATCATTTTGCCTTTCTTTTTCCTAAAAGGAAACAGTTCCTAAAAACCAACAATTTCAAATCTTTTGACATAAACTTATGTCACCCATTTTCCCTCTTCATGTTGTCATCTACTGCCACCCACATTACTCCTCATTTCTCCACCAATTTAGCTCTTGTCTTATGTTCACTCTCTTCTATACTCCAATACTACCTCTGACTTAATTCTTAGAAATTTTTATACAAAAAGATCATGATCCTGCCAATATTCTGGCCTTTCAGTTCTTTGAATTCTACAGATTTTGTCCTCTATCCTACCTTACCCATTTCACACTATGGTCATTGCAGTAAGTGTAGCCCTTCTAGGACCTCATTTCATACCACCAGGATTCTCTCTTTTTACCTTATTCTCTTTGGTATCCTGACCCCAACAGTCCTCCAGCCCTGCAGAGACCTCTAATCCATTCACTGTCCTTAACCTTCTTGATGACTTCATTCTTTCCCTCAGCTAAAATTCCTTGGTAAATCATTACAATCATTCCCTTGGGTATTATTCTTCCATTACCTCTCTCATTTCATACCTGAT